ATGATTTATTGGGCTGAAGTCACAGGAGAAAAACTCCCTGAAGAATAAGATAGTAATAGCCAAAATACGGATTTCAGTGCCAACCATTAGGGAAGGGCATGACTCATTCCCCTACAGAAAAGGACTTGATATTTAAAAAAAAAAAAAAAAAAGTTATTGACCCATTTGGACCAGAACAGGAAACCAAATCCCTTGCTGGAAAGCCACGGTCTGTCCTTTATAAAACTTTGCTACTTTGTAGCAGGAGAAAAGCCCCCAAACTGGAATAAGACATGGGCCAGGCTTTACTGATTCTGAGCTATATGGATTATCCTGGTTTTCCCTTTTATTTAATACTGATGGCTCAGCATTTTAAAGGATATGCGACTTAATAGTGTTTTCCTCCCAAGTTCTTCCATAGATTGTTTTCTATATTCTATGTACAGATTGCAGAAGTGGAGAAAAAAGGAAGGTAAGAGTTAACCCACACAGAGCTGTGGGCTTGTCATCTACGGCTTTTATTATGTTGAGATATGTTCCCTTTGTACCCACTTTGTTGAGAGTTTTTATCGTAAATGGAAGTTGACTTATATCAGATGCCTTTTCTGGGTCTACTGAGATGATCCTATGACTTTTATCCTTCATCTTTTTGATCTGGTAGTATCGCATTGACTGATTTACCGGTGTTGAACCATTCTTGCTTCCTGGAATAAATCCCACTTGATCATGGTGTGTGTTCCTGTTAATGTACTGTTGAACTCAGCTTGCTGATGTTTTGTGGAGATTTTTTGCATCTGTGATCATCATACTCAATGGTGAAAAGCTGAAAGTCTTTCTTCTAAGATCAGGAACAAGAGCAGGATGTCCCCCTTGATACTTTTATTCAACACAGTATTGAAAGTCCCAGCCATTGCAATTTGGCAAGAAAGAGAAAGAAAAAGCATCCTAATTGGAAAGGAAGAAGTAGAACTGTCACTATTTGCAGATGACATGATATTATACAGAGAAAACCCTAAAGATGTCATCAAAAAAATGTAAGGACAAATAAATTCAGTAAAGTTGCAGCATATGGAATCAATATATAGAAATCAGTGGTGCTTCTACACACTAATAAAAACTATCAGGAAAAGAAATTAAGAAAACAATCCCATTTACAATTGCCTCAAAAAGAATAAAATAGCAAGGAATAATTTAACCAAGAAGGTGAAAGACCTGTATGTTGAAAGTTATAAGACATTAATAAAAGAAATTGAAGAAGACACAAATAAAGGAAAAGATATTCCATCCTCATGGATTACAAGAATTAATATTGTTAAAAAGTCCATGCTACCCTAAGCAATCTGCAGATTCAGTGCAATGCCTATCAAGACTCCAATCCCATTTCTCAAGAAATAGAACAAATAATCATAAAAGTTGTAGAGAACCAGAAAAGACCCTGAATAACCAGAGAAATCTTGAGAAAGAACAACAAACCTGGAGGTATTCCTGTCTTTTACTTCAGACTGTATTACAAAGCCATAGTAATTAGTACAGTATAATGTTGGCATAAAAACAGGCACATAGATCCATGACACAGAATAAGGAGCCCAGAAATAAACTCATGCATGTATGCTCAGTTCCTTTATCACGGGGAGCCAAGGATGTATAATGGGTAGGATGCTGTCTTTGATAAATGGTGTTAGGAAAACTGGACCACTAATTTTTACCATTACACAAAAACTAACTCAAAATGGATTAAAGATTTGAATGTAAGACCTGGGACTATAACATTCCCACAAGAAAACATAAGTAGTAAGCTCCTTAACATTGGTCTTGGTGATGATTTTTTGAATCTGACACAAAAAGCAAAAACAAACAAGTGGGACTACATCATACTGGAAGGCTTCTGCACAACAAAGGAATTAATCTACGGAATGGGAGAAGATATTTGCAAATCATCTATCTGATAAGGGGTTAATATCCAATGTATATAAAGAACTCCAACAATTCAGTAGCAAAAAAACAATCCAGTTAAATAGTGGGCCGATCTGAATAGACTTTTTTTTTTTTTTCCAAAAAAGACATATAGATGCCAAAAGGTAAACAGATGCTCAACATCACTCATGATCAGGGAACTGCAAATCCAAACCACAGTGAGGTGCCACCTCACACCCAGTAGAATGGATATAATCAGAGAGAGAAGAAATAACAAGTTTCAGGATGGAAAAAAAGAAACACTCATGCACTGTTGATGGGAATGTAAATTGGTGCAGCCACTGCAGAAAACAGTATGGAAAAGAGTTCCTCCAAAAAGTAAAACCAGGACTATCGGAAGATCTAGCAATTCCACTTCTGGGTATTTATCCAAAGAAAATGAAAACACTGAGAAAAGATGCACTTATCTCTATGTTCATTGCAACATTACTTACAATAGTGGAAGTATAGAAACATGTAACAACCTACAGACACATGTAGAAAGAAACTATATGTGTGTGTATATAATATATATTTTACATATGCATAATAGAATATTATTCAGCCATGAAAAAGAATGAAATCTTCCACTTGTGACAAAATGGCTGGACCTTGAGGGCATTACGTAAGTGAAATAAATCAGGAAGAGAAAGAAAATACTGTGTGATCTCTCTTGTCGTGCAATCTAAGAAGAAGAAGAAAAAAAAAAAAAGCTAGTGGTTACCAGAGGTGGAGGGTGGGGAGGGTGGAGAAATGGATGAAGGGAGTCAAAAGGTAAAAAAAAAAAAAAAAAAAAACAAACATTGAATCGCAGATATCTTCTGGCCAGTCAAAATAATTTGAATATTTTGGCCGCCCGTGGGTTGAAGGTTGGGAAACACAACTGAATGGCAGAATTCTCGAGCGGTGCTGTTGGACCCTGGTCTAGTGGACCCTGAGATTGGCCTGCCTGTGAGTGGGAATAGTGGGGTGTTGGGAGAGATCTCTGTGGCCCAGATGGAGCAGACCGGTACTAAATAAACCTGTCGTATCAAAATTTAGTGGTGTTTCAGCAACACAGATAATGGCTCATGAGAAGCCCCTGTTGGGGGTAACAGACCCTACGGCTTGCAAGGGTTTGGGATGAGGTATGCTCTGGGCTCCTGGCTTTCTCTAAGATCATCTTACCTGGCCCTTAAGAGGACATTCTTCCCAAAAATATGTGTCAGAGCAGACAGAAACCACCTCTAACGTGACAGAAATATGCTAGATGTTGACAACAATTTGAAGTCAATGGAATTTTCCTGTTCTAAAGATGGGAACATTCCTACTGTAAGATCCCCTGCCCGTGTGTGCATGGGGGGTGCTCCACCAGGAGAACCGTGTTCAGGGCCTCACTGAGATGTCAGAGTACTATTAAAGGCAGTCGGATTATAGGATTAAAGCCTGAAATCAGTATACAATGAATGACCGGTAAAGTACTTTTAAGGGAATATTCTGCACAGAGCCGCAGAACGCTCAGGGCATGGAGAGGACAGAGGTGAATTCATAGCAGTGTGGAGTGATCAGTCAGGCACACATAGTTGTGGTGAGGACTGAGGACAAGAGGAATTGACGTTCTGAGTCTAGACAGGGTGGAGTGAACAGAGCAATTAGCAACAGGGCTGTGAAATGCATGGTCCAGAATGTCATGTTTGCGGGATGCCGAACAGGGCCATGCCTGCTTCAGAGATAACCATGCAGCATAGTGTCTCGTTCTCCATCGTATTTCATAAGCTTTAACAAACCTTCAGAACACATGCTCGCAGTCCCCTTTCCCTGGGGGTGTCTGAGCCAGCCAGCCGTCCCCGGAAGCACGGCCGGAGCTCCAGACTTCAAGATCGTCCTCTGCTTTGCTTCACTGACGTCATTTTATCATGGGCACGTTGCATTATTAAGTAAATGCAAGTTCTGTCTCCTTGGGGCCCCATAGTTCATACGGAGGTAGATGTAAGGCAAGAAACGATATTTCAGAGTTCGTGCTGCTTTAGCTTTTTGCTCAGTAACAAGTCCACTGTCTGCATAATGCAAGGACTAGGGCAAACATTTATACTTTTTTCCTTACATTTTGCTGCGGAAGGCTAAATAGGCATCAACAGATTTTCTGGGTGTTGGGCTGTTTCCTGTAGATCCCCCCCATTCCTTTGGGAATGGTGCATTTCATGAACAAGGCACTGGATTCCTCTGGCGCTTGGCATCTCCGAGGAAGCACAGACTTGCATTCAATGCAACCTTGGTGTTTGCTTTGCCTTTAATATTTATGGACAAGGAAATCTGAGTCTCGAAGATGTTCTCAGGGAACCGAATGATAGTATGCTCGGCAGAGCAGAATAGGACTGGAGGCCGAGTGCAGGAAACACTGGGCTGCTGCTGAATGTGATGGGTTTCCTTTACATGTTGTTTTAATTTTTATTTTTTAAGTGAGGTCTATGCCCAGCCTGGGGCTTGAACTCACAACCTTGTGATCAAGGGTCGCATGCTCCAGCAGTAAGCCAACCAGATGCCCCCCTACGTATTTAACTACAGAGGACCCGTCATTCTTATGAAAGCTCCCCGCATGAGCTCCTTTGGCGGGCGCTCCTAAGGGTGTGTGTGTCTGTCCCCAAGGACCCCAGAACAGGTGGTGGCGAGAGAGGTCACCGAGTGGCCAGAGGTGCAGTCAGTGTCATCAGCACCCCTAAAGACAGGCTTCTCCAGCACCCATGTTCCTCTTGACTCTCCCTTCCACTCTTCAGCTCCTATGACGGGCTGAGGTTTCAAGGCGGCGCGTTCAAGGCTCCTGCATTTGGTCACGAGCAGTAACCAGTTCCAGCTGGTACGTGTGCTTGGAGGTGGCAAGGATCCACCGTTCCCTTCATGGCGACAAAAATAAACCTTGCAGCAGCGGCTTCGGCTGTGAGGGGCAGTGAGAACACGGACCATCCGAGCCCATCGGTGGCAATGATATTAGAGGCTTGGAGGGGCGGTTTGGCAGCTGGGGTCAGGCTGGAGCGTCGGCCCCCAGAGAAGTCACCTTGCACTGATGAGCTTTTCTGTCTCTCCCCTCGCAGGGCTGCCTGACGACGCCCAACTCCCCATCGGTGAACTCCCGCTCCGTCAAGTTGGGCCCATCCCTGTCGCTCAGCAACATCTCAGGGGTGTCTGTGAGGTCGGACCTGAAGAAGCGGCGGGCGCCCCCTCCCCCGACCCTGCCAGGCGCGGGGCCACCAGCGCAGGACAAAGTCTCGGAAAAGGTAGGCGGAGGGCGGCTCTCGGGACCAGCGCATCCGCTAGATGGACGCGTGATTCTCTCTAGAAGTTTCCTGCATGCCCTGCGATCCTTCAGGTTGGTGGTTTTAGCAGGGAGAGCGTTGGGGCGAAAAGTGAAGCTTCCCGTAGAACTCAAGGTGAGATGCCGAAGTTACTTCAGCCGCGGGAGGCGGGAAAGCTTTTGTGCTTTTAGTCCCAAGAGGCTTGTGCTTGCCGACTGGCGTCTGTTCTCTCCTCCGCGTTGGAGTCTGGGGCATTGTCAGGATCACTTTGTGAGAAAATCGCGTGGGTCAGGGCACTGCGAGAATCTGGAGAGTGTATGGGGAAGGGACGATAGGTGACATCCACATAAGTCAGACTCACAAGAGAGCAGGGAGGAGTCGCTCTCTGTGCTACAACACCTGTGGATACTGCGTGTGTATGAAGCCACGTGTGTTAAATTTATCTTAGAGCAACTTAATCCCTTTGCAAGGAGTTGTCATTACATGTGGACGGGAAAGAGCCTTTGTCCCCAGGTTCTGGGGTCTCAACTGGCCTTCTCTCCTGGCATGTGTCTGCACAACCGTATAGTGCTAGTGGAAGTCCCCAGACCTTGCTTCTCGGGAGCCAGGCGGCTCCTTGACCGTGGCTGCTCTTCTGGTGGCTCGGAGTGGGGCGTGGTCGACCTGGGAAGTCCACTGTGTGTTCTCCAGCATCCTTCCTCATTGGGGTGGGCAGTGGCAGGGACCAGCCCCCGGGATGGCCAGGATGGGAGCAGGCTGTTGAATCCCGGAGAAGATGAGTGCCCCCAGCAGGCCTGCTCCGGATGTGTGCCGAGACACGGGGTCAACCTGCAGAGTAGGTAAGGATGCATTATTCTTCATGAAGCTGCGAGGTTTCCCAGCGATGGGCGCTCCAGGTTCCTGGCGGAGGCTGCGGGTAGGGGGCGAGGATACCACACAGCAAACAGGAGCATTCTAGAACCCGCATTTATTCTCACATGGGCTTAATGTCCTCTCCTTCTGCCGCAGTGTCCCTCGGCGTGTTCCTGCGTCATATGAGCTGAATGCTTTACCTTCCTGCTGGAGCCCTCTTTCACTCATTCTTACAATGGCTTCTCTTAAAACAAACTGGGAACAAAGTCTGTACCTACCAGGTGGGAGGCTTGGCCTGGAGTCATGCTTAGAAGTTCCCCGAGGGGCTCTCTGGAGCCACAGACTTCTCACTCCGTTTCCTTTTCATCCTGGTTGTTGGCCTGTCCATCAGTCTTTTTGTTTTGTTTTGTCTAAGACTTATTATTTTAGAGGGAGATAGAGAGAGCATGCAAGCAGGGGGAGGAGCAGGGGGAGACGGAGAGGGGCCCAAGCAGACTCCATGCTGAGCGCAGAACCCAGCGAGGGGCTCGATCTCATGACCTTGAGGTCATGATCTGAGTCAAAACCAAGTCAGACGCTTAATCACCCAGGCTACTGAGGTGCCCCTGTCCATCCGTCTTCGTAAATCTTAACAAATCTTCCCCTTTCCCTCCAGGGGTGATCTTTATTCCCAGAGACCCCCCCTGCCCTGGCCTCATTCCCACCTATAGACCTTTTCCAGCCATGCCCTGCGGATCTGTTGGGAAGGCCTGCAACATGGTGTATTTTAGTAGAAAGTATTTTGATTTTTGTGTTTCTTAAGCATTTTCTAATGCCACGAGGTTTTTCTGAGGTCTTCACGATGTCTTAGCTATCTCTTGATACGAAGACCTTTAGGCACAACTAGCCCCTCATTTGGTACACTTGCATGGTTAAAGGGTGACAAGCCAGCATAGTGACCTCCGGGAGGTGTGTGTGCTGCGGGCCTCCCTGTTATGCCGGGGTTTAGAGTCAGAACTTTTTCGTAACCCGCAGACCATGTTGCCAGCATTTAGCACTTTTCATCCAGTCCCCTGTGGCGACGTCTTTTTGCTTTCGATTGGGAGGGATGTTTCTTTTGCAGTGAAAGTCACGAATTCTAGGATCATGGTTCCTTATGTTTGTTTGTTTGTTTTCAATGAGAATTGCATTTCCCTAATGTTAGAGTGTGTACCTGTGAAGTCCGACCAGCCTTTGTAAAACAGTCTTCCATCCAGAGAAGCTGTTGTGTTTTTCAGATTTTAACGTGCTTCTCCAGAGTGGATAAAGTCTGCTGGAGTGGGAGAATGTATAGTAGGTAGAGAATCAGGAATTCTGAATGAAAAATAAATAGTTCTCTATACCCTGAATAATGAACAGGGTTCCCTGCGAGGCAGTAACAGCTTTTTACTGAAATCTGTTTTATTTGGCACCGAATGAGTGGAGAAATTGGCTCCCAGAAACCCTCTCCTTTTTAAAGCATATGAGTGGCATATGGATTAAATTTGAGCATTTGCTAGGACCATTTTTTTTTCCTTTTTAAATGAAAGGTATTTTGTTATTTACTAATTTCTGGGAAAGGAACCCAAAAATGTGTTGTTGTCATTGTTGGGGAAAAACGTCAATTCCTTCTTCATGAACTTCCTTCCATATAAAGATAAGATGTTTGTTTGGAAAGCCTTATTTATATGCAACTGTTGCTAACACCAATATCCTGAATGAAAAGGAAAGGCTTATTTTTTCAAGGACATGACTAGTTTTGGAAAAGGAACATGCATTGATTTTCTTACTTGAGAAGATTTTTTCTTATCATCTGGTCTGAAAAATTAGGTGTTTCTGTATTCAGGTCTTAGAGGGGGAGCAATTTCAGCTGTATCCTGGCTCTTGGGAAACATTCTCAAAAACGCCATCTTTGCATGCCTGTTTGTTACCGGATGATAATCGCGGCATGGTCATTGGTATTTGTAATTTCTGAACCTACATTTCAAGGAGTGTTTCCCAGAGGTGTTGGAGCCAATGGAAGAAATTAACGGTGTCCTTGTGCAGGCCTGTTAGCAGAGAAATTGGCAAGACAGGTGAAGAGATGTGTTATCTTTCCGGAGGAGAAGCGCTGTCTGGGCCAGCTGTCCTCCCGTCCCCTGGTACCTTGAATGTAGTTTTAATCAAGAGGAACTTTCAGACAGGGATGATATATATGTGAGGGTACCATATGCTGTCAGTATTTTTCAGACTTAAGTGAGCATCAGAATCACCCCCAAAGGGCTTGGTAAAACCCACTTGACTTAGCTCTGCCCTGAGAGTTTCTGATTCAGGAGGTCTGGGGCAGGGCCTGAGAACGGGCATTCCAGCAGGTTCCCAGGCAAACCCCGCTTTGAGAACCACCGCGCCATGTTCTGCATCACCCTGATCCGCCCACGCAGACTCGGAACTAACCAGTGTGGAGAGGCCACGCGGTGTAAATATTCTGAACAGATCTGGGGAGAGTCTCCAGCAGCAAAGTTACCTGGAAATGAACGAATCCGAGCTATGTAATAATACTTGGGTGCAGGTCGCCATGGTGTGAGCTGGGGCCTGACGTTGGATGTTAAGATGGATAAATAGCTCTTGCTTCTTCTTGCTGGGACCCCAGGAGTGCTCAGGGGAGGGACAGAGGGATTGCCCCTTCCAGAGAGGATTTTCCTTCCTTTTGTCTTTGAGATTCCACAAAGTCCTCACTCCGTTCTTCTGAGATGACCTGGCACCTTGTCCCTGGCCCTGATCAAGCGCATAGTCCTTGCTTGCTGCTGCTGTGTGTGGGCCTGACCCCTTTTGTATGCAGCTGTCCCCAGGGAGACTTGTCTTCCTGTGCCTTGTCATAACCCCTCCAGCTATGGACCAGCTGGACTCACTGTGAGCAGGGCTGCAGACACAGGCGCCCACACGGGCCCCTCTCCAGTCACTCTCTGGTCCTTCGTTTTCCTCCTCTGCAGAATGGGAACACTAAAAGCAGCCTTCCCAGGTTCATGATGTAGAGGTCAGAGCAGGGGGCCTGGAGCGGCTTCCTGAGTCCAGATCCCAGCTCTGTCACTCCTTGTAGTCTTTGGTGAGTCCCTCCTCTCCCACCCCTCCATCCCTGAGGTGTGCAGACCACACAAACAGGTGGAGTGAGAGCCGGGTATCAGGGGATCTGGGAGCCTGAGGCAGGGAGGGCTGGGCGTGCAGGGGGAAGCCTGTATGGCTGGGCCAGACTCCTGCATGAGCCAAGCGGGGGACTAAACCTAAAAATTAAACTCTGCCCTGCTGCAAACATGAAAGGCAGTGCAGAAAGTTGCCATGCCCCTGGGGCATGTTCAACCTGTTAAATGGTGCCACAGCCCCCTCGTGGCATTTTTGCTGTTAGTCACAGACTGAACACCCTGTTCACTAGTCCACACCGTCCGAGAGTATCGGGACACGGTTGCTCATCCCTTTAAGCCTTTGGGGCCCTGTCTCTGAGAAGAATGGGAGTAGAATCCTGGCCAGTAATCCATTAGGTGACTCAGTTTACCTGTTCAGGATCAAAGTAATCCTGTACATCACACTTGCTCACCTCTGCCTCTGTACAACACTTTGCTGGCGACAGAGCGGCTTCTTTCGCTGTTCTCTCTGTCAGTTGATTAAAGAATAACGTGTGGGACTTTTACTAGAAAATGCTGTGCTGTCTAACGTGAGTTATTTTCCACAAATGTAGAATAAACAGCTCTTCATTATTTTTTCAGTTGGCACATGGTTCTTCTATGCCTGCTGTTGTGCCTGTAACAACTATAAATCCTTTTTTATTGTAAGTAAAAGTGATTCAAAAAGTATTTTAGCTATCCAGGCCTTCTGTTGTCCCATAGTACTTGAATTATTGCGTTCATCGCAGAAAGCGTTCAACGCCATAAACTTTCAACGTGACAAGCGCACTTGTACGTGAGCTCAGGTTTGTTGCACTGGGATGAAAAGAGCTGGTGGTATTGGCCGTTAAAATGAGAGATGGGGGAGCTTGGTGCTATGATCAGTTACTGGTATGTTTGTCCATGAAACATTGCTTGTGTATTTGATAACTAGTTGAACGGCTGCGGTTTGCAAACTTAAGAGCGAGGATAGATACTCATTCCTTGAGTATCTTGGTG